ACGGAAGGCCGATGCCTCCGTCGCCCGGCCGAGATTGGGGGGGTGGGGGCGAGGCAGGCGATGGAAGGCCGATGCCTCCGTTGCCTGGCTGGAGTGGCCGCGGGGGGGTCTGGAGTCGGGCGGCCGCTGGCGGGGGACGCAGTCGCCCGGGCCGAGATTGGGGGGGCAAGGCGGGCGACAGAAGGCCGAGGCCTCCGTCGGCCGGCCCTCTACAGAATCCACCCCCCAAACCTCCAGGTATTTCCCTCCTTAGAGCTGGCAACCCTACATTCCCCTCAGTGCCTGTTGGTAGGCAACTAAGCTTGGTCCTGTCACCTACTTTGGCCTTTGGGAGAAAACACATTGGGGCCAGTCCTGATAGGTTTGCCAACTCCAGATGGGAAATTCCTGGAGATTTGAGGGATGGAGCCTGAAGAGGGTGAGGTTTGAGGAGGGGTGGGACCTCAGACAGGTACACTGCTATAGACTCCACCCTCCAAACCAGTCAGTCCCACATAAGGAACCATTGTTGCCAATCTCCCGGTGAGGGCTGGAGAGCACTCAGAATTACAACTGCTCTGCAGAAGGGAGGGCAGAAGTCAGCTGAAGTCAAAGGGGCAGATAATGGTAGGTTGATGGTTAGCTGGGAAGGAGATGGGGTTGCCAACTACATGCTGACAAATTCCTGGGGATTTGAGGGGTGGAGCCTGGAGAGGGTGGGGTTTGCAGAGGGGTGGGACCTCAGACAGGTAGAATGCCATAGACTACACCCTCTAAACCAGCCATTTTGTCCTGGGTAACAATTGCTGCCAATCTCCAGGTGAGGGCTACAGATCACTCACAATTACAACTGCTCTTCAGGTAGCAGAGATCAGTTCCTCTGGAGAAAACAGTGGACTCTGTCATTATACCCTGCTGAGGTCACCACAGCAAATTGACACTGTTTGCCCAAAGCCAGAGCACTCCCCCAGAGCCTCTTTCTAGATCCCGTTGTATTGCTTTCACAACGGGCTTTACTGCTAGTAGGTATATAAGAGCAGAGAGGCCCCAGAAAGGAAGTTAGCCTGCCAAACACTTCAGTGTCCCATTTGATCAATAATCCTTAGATTTAAGCACTAGCCAAAACCTTTTATTTCCTTGCATGCCTGTTGGTCAATTTCTTTTCTCTCTCATCCTCCCCTTCTATCCAGGACTGGCTATATTGTTTGTCTGTGGAAACTCCAGTTTGGTGTAGTGGTTAAAAATACAGACTCTAATCTGGGAGAATTGGGTTTGATTCCACACTCCACTACATGCAGCTCCACATGACCTTGGGTCAGTCACAAGTTCTCTCAGAGCTGTTCTCCCAGGAGCAGTTCTCTCGCAGAGCTCTCTCAGCCCCGCCTACTTCACACGGTGTCTGTTGTGGGGAGAGGAAGGGAAGGAGATCGTAAGCCGCTCTGAGACTCTGAGTGAAGGGCGTGGTATAAAACCAATCTCTTCTTCTTCTGATTCATTTTTTAAGGTTGCTGTGATTGTTGTGTTGGCTTCCTGGTTATTCCATCGAGTCTGTTAATGGTACGATGATGTGACCACTTTTATTACGTCTGCCTTTAACCTAGAAGCCACCTCAAGAGCTGTAGTGCAAAGAATAAGGGCATCAAGGTTGTGAAGACATCAGTCCATACAACAGCCCTGTAAGGTGGGCCAGCACCAAAGATGGGGAGCTAATGCTGAGATAAAGTTTATGTAGTGAGTTTGCCAGTCATTTGGACTCCCCTGAGCCACTATTTGGGACAGCTTTTGGTAGCTGTTGTAGAGTAATGGCTAAGAGAATGAGCTGTGATCTGGGAGGTTACCAAATCTTGTGGAGGAGGCCATGGCCAAGCTTCTCACAGACTCACATTTGTAATAGGGAAAAAGAATACTGGCATAGCCTACCTTACAAGGCTGTTGTAAGAAGAGTTGTTTTTATACCCCACCCGTCACTACCCAAAGGAGTCTCGGAGTGGCTTACAATGCCCTTCCCTTCCTCTCTCCACAACAGGCCCCTTGTGAGGTAGGTGGGGCTGAGAGAGCGGTGACTGGCCCAAGGTCACCCAGCAGGCTTCACATGGAAGAGGAGTGGGGAATCAAACCCGGTTCTCCAGAGTAGGGTCGGCAGCTCTTAACCACTACACCACACTGGCTCTTTGAACACTTTGAATGTCCTGGGCTTTGATCTGGATTAGGGTTTTTCCATATCAGAAAGAACAACCACAGGGGTGTGACCAGTGTTCCCTCTAAGCCATGCATGCGAGCGGCTGCTCATTGACACAGGCAGCCCCGCTCAGCAGCAGTCTGGAGCCACACAGGGTCCTGCACTGCCGTGGCCCATTTTCAGATCACAGCAGTTGTATTCTGCTCAGGACATGAACTGCTCCACTGGGGGGGGGGGAATCTGAGGGAATGTTGGGTGTGACCGGTATGAAAGTCACCAATGCAGAACAGAAAGCAGAAGAAATCTACGCTGGATTTCGGCAAGGTAGGTGGGCTGGGGGAAAGAGGAAGACCGGGCACGAGGCGGATTGACTCAACCAAGGAAGCCACATAGGCCCTTCCGGTTGCGAGACCCGAGCGCGGCTGTGAACGAGGGGACATTTCGGAGGTCATTCATTTTTAGGGTCACCGTTAAGTCAGAAGCAACTTCAGCATTACACACAGACACGGAGTAAATAAATGCTAGCCTGCACAGGTTTTACTTCTAAATTACTGGTACAGGAAATGCACCCCACCCCACCAGTGCTTTCAGCACTAGCTGGAATGGCTCCTTTTTTAAAAAGAAAAAGGGGGAGGTTTGAAAAATTAGTTGCTGTAGATTTTCCAGGAAGACCACGGCCACACATCCCGGAAAATCTACGGCAACTAATGAACTCCGGCCGTGAAAGCCTTCGACAACATGTTTGAAAAATTGATTTCATGGAGTGCCCACGAGTTCTTGTATTGTGAGAAAGGGAGAAAAGGACCTCTTTCTCTACCTGCTCTTTCCCATGCATAATCTTATAAACCTTGATCATGTCACCCCTCAGTCGTCGTTTCTCCAAGCTAAAGAGCCCTAAGCACTTTAACCTTTCCTCATAGGGAAAGTGTTCCAACCCTTTTATCATTAGGGTCTGACAAGCGTGTACATCCTGACTTAAGTCTATTTTTTTCCCGGTGATATCTTTGCAGGTTCTCCAGCTACAGAGATGCCTGCTTGGAGTGGAAATGAGGAAACGGGCGTTTGTGGAGGCAACTCAAGAGCTGAGTGATCATCTGGGAGCCAAATTCTGAATGCACAGTGTTATGTATTGGGACGGAATCATCCCTGACTGAATCACCCTAGAGACTGGTTGAGCTTGGAGCACAAGAACAATAGCCGACCAGGACTCTGGAATAAACCAATCAAGTAGCAATGTTTTGTAAATAGCCTATCACGGGGAGTGGGTGTAGGGGTGGGTGTGGTGTTGTGCATGCATATAAGCCAGGCCCTGGCCCTGCTAGTGTTATCTTAGAGTTAAGCTGGAGTCACGAATAAACTATGAGCTGATCGCTATACGTGTCTCGAACCCAGTATATTTCACACAGGATAGCCACAGTTACAATAAACACGAGTTTGGTGTTAGGGATGACAGGTGGGACTTGGGGATCCCCCAGAATGACAGCTCATCTCCAGGGATCAGTTCCCCTGGAGAAAATGGATGCTTTGGAGGGTGGACTCTATGGCGTGGTGCGCCACTGAGGTCCGTGTCTTCCCCAGGCTCCACCCCCAAATCTCCAGGAGCTGCCCAAACTGGAGTTGACAACTCTGTAGCTGCTGCTGAGTTACAACCTTTCCTTTAAATTTAGCACTAGGGACAGATCATGAGAGAGGGGGGACAGGGAGTGTCGTAGAAAAAGAGCTAGAACTCATTAGCATAACTCATTAGCATATGCCACACCCCCTGACATCACCGGAAGTGTGTCATAAGGCCACACACCCCGCCCCCAACGGTCCCGGCCGCCGCCGCCAGCCTTGCAGCTCCACTGCAGAGCCCCATGAGGGGCCCGGCGGTGGACCTGCAAGGACGGCGGGAGTGCAAGGAAGCCCCGCGAAGGCCCTCCCTGGCCCCAGGCAGGCAGGAGTGGGGAGAGGCAGGGAGGAAGCAACTTACCCTCCCTCTTCTCCTCCTCCTGGCTGAATGAGGGCCGGAAGCGGGGCGGCCGGAAGCAGGGGGCGGGTCTTCGTCATGTGGCCCGCCCCCCGTACCTCACCCGGGGGAACTGCGATCCCCCGCGATCCCCCCCCGAAATGACCTCAGGTTCTCGTGGCCCTTTCTTACACGCCCAGGGAAATGCTGATCGCCACTTTGGGGTCAGGAAGGAATTTTTCTGCAGGCCAGCTTGGCCGGGGATCCTGGAGGTTTTTTGTCACCTTTTGGGCATGGAACAGCGGTCACTGTGGGTGTGGAGGGGGAGGTGTTTGTGAGTTTCCAGCCTTGTGCAGGGGGTTGGACTAGATGACCCTGGAGGTCCCTTCTGAGACGATGACTTTATGATTCTATGACATACTATCCCCTCTCACAAACACACCTGGAGCAATGGTGGTGATTTTTTAAATTGTTCTGGAATATATATACCCTAGGCCCGCATCTCCTGCTGGTGGCCGGGGGGGGGGGGCACCCAGCAACCCTGTTCGGTGTGCTGTCGGAACCGAGCCTACCTTTGAGTCTGTGACTGCACCTAGCCAATGTTCCCTCTGATTTCTTCCTTCTTCCCCTACTGAGCAGAGGAGTCCACATCCTGGGCAGAAGAATCCGAAGAAGTGAGCAGTGACTCACGAAAGCTCCCCCCTCCCCCGCCACAAATTTTGTTAGGCTTTCAGGTGCCCCCCGGGGTTCTTGCTCTTTTCTACTGCTACGGACAGACTAACGTGGCGACCCATCTTGTTCCAATAACAACAACAACAGTAGTAATAAGCCAGCCGTGGGCCTACCTGTTCTGCAGTTCCGCGGGACCCCTGTTCCCGGAGCTCCTCCACCTCCCTTTTGAGGCTGTCCCTCTCCATCCTCAGGGCTTCCACTGTCAGACTGCTGTCATTCACCAAGGCTTCCAGCATCTCCAGGACACTGACCACCTTGAACTGCACCTGGGCCACCCTGGCCGGCACCTCCGCCCGAGGCTCGCTGCCGATCTTGTGCAGCTCCCTGCCCAGGACGTATGACATGTCATAGACATCCTCCACTGTCAGCTGGAAGGGGCTCTTCCTAAAAGTCCCTTCAGGCTCACTGCCTCCTCCTCCTCCTCCTCCTTCACCTTCCTCCTCCTCCTCCTCCTCCTGGTGCTGTTCAGCCTGCATGCCAAGCGAGGGGAGGTCTAGAGAGCCAAAGCAGGGAAGAGAGAGAGAGAGGGGTCCAGCTCTCCTTCCTTCCCTGGCTGCAGCAAGCCCTCCCTCCGTCCCATGCAGCTGCCAGACCAAGTGACAACCTCCTGCAACTTCCTTCCTCCTCTGAAACTTTCATCGGTGACTAAATCCCTCCCATCTGCCTCTGGGGAAGCCCCAAAGGGCCCAATCGAAGGCCAGAAGGAGAGGTGGGGCTAAAAGGGAAGGTCGCCATGGGAGCCGGAGAGGAAGTTGGAGGGCCGTGACGCCTGACTGACAGGCTGCCAGGGAAGACGGGCGGCGTGTGCCGCTTTGGCAAACGGTACGGCTGCTCAGACCTGTTGCAAAGCAGGGAGGCTGCAGCTAAGGCGGAGGTGGCTCTAGATGCTGAATCAATGCTGATCAAAGTTTGGGTCAAGGGGCACCTTTAAGACCAACAAAGTTGTATTCTGGGCAGTGTTCCCTCTAAGCTGAGTCGGTGTGAGCCGGCTCACAGTTTTTGAGCCTCCGGGTCGCAGGGTTTTTTTTGTTTTTTTTCCAAATAAGTGTTTTTTTATTATCTTAAACCATATATACAACAGTACATTCAGAACACATATTAATACCATGCAATAATCAACATTCTCAACCCGTAAGAGCCTTTTAAAAATATAACAGATCTTTGTAATAAGAGTTGTTTGGAATCACTTCTTCCTCTGCGAGATATTCCACTGCTGGGAGCCAAGTTGCTTGAAAATCTTTTTGGTGGGAGACAATTTTACCATATACAGTGTTCCCAGATTTTGTTTTGCCAACACTGAAGAGTAGGTTGATTTTTGTTTTTCCAGTATTGGGCTAATGTTATGCTAACAATGTTGCTATTAATTTTCTAGTGACTTTACTTTCACAGGTATCTGGGATGACATCCAACAGGACCGTTTCAGGTAGAAAAGGTAAGTCGCAGTTTTTTGTCTCCGCTCGGGGAGGATGGCTCCAGAGCAAACGACATTTATGCAGCAGCCAAATGGCTGGCTCACAACTTGAATGCCAGTAGCTCACAAAGTAGAATTTTTGCTTACAAGACTCCACAGCGTAGAGGGAGCATTGATTCTGGGCAAAAGCTTTCGTGTGCAATGCACACTGCTTCAGATACCCACCTGAAGACAAGCGTATGTCACTGATTATTCAAATAAACTAATGTTTTTTTTAAAAAAAGAATTTGCTGCCAGAGGATGTAGTGACGGCCACAGGAATAAACCGCTTTGCAAGAGGATTCGATAGATTCACAGAAGAGAAGTCTATCAATGGCTACTAGCCACGGTGACGGAGGGGAACCTCCACATTCAGAGGCACTAAACCTCTGAATCCCAGAGCCAGGAGGTAACATCAGGGGAAGGCCTTGGCCTCTCTGCCCTGTTGTTCGTCCTCCAAAGGAACAGGTTGGCCACTGTGTGAGATGGGATGCAGGACTAGATGGATCACTGGTCTGATCCAGCAGGGCTCTTGTGTTCTTATGAAGGCCTCAGCCTCTGTGCCCTTGTTGGCCATCCAGAGGAACGGGCTGGCCGCTGTGTGAGGCAGGAGGCTGGACCAGATGGCCTACTGGTGTGATCCAGCAGGGCTCTTCTTATGTTCTTCATCATCTGCTCTTGAGCCAATGTACAGAAGCAGTTCAGAGGACGATTGGGGAGTAAAAGGTAAAGGTTTCCCTTGCTCAAAAGCTAGCTGAATCCAATTCTTTTTTTAAAAAAGTTTTATTTATAGGTTTTTCAGTGTACATTACTTCATAACAAGTTCTTTCAAACATTTTGAGTCTCTTTATCCATTTTGTTTTCTATCCATTTAAACACTCTATTCCATCTTTTTCAATATAAGGTATCATCTCTACTCTGTATTCACATACTCAGCCAATCCATTTCCGCCATTTCCATCAGCTCATACACTAATTCCTCTCTGGAGGGTACCTTTCTATTTCCCAGTATTTAGCCAGTTGAATTCTAGAGGGCGGTGCTCATCTCCGTTTCCAAGCCAAAGAGCCAGCGCTGTCCGAACACATTTCCGTGGTCATGCGGCTGGCATGACTAAACGCCAAGGCGCAAGGAATGCTGTTACCTTCCCACCGCAGCGGTACCTATTTATCTCCTTGCAATTTCTTGCCGTCGAACTGCTAGGTTGGCAGGAGCTGGAACTAGAGACGGGAGCTCACTCCATCATGCGGCACATTCGGGTCTCGAACTGCCGAACTACAGACCTTCCGGTCTGCAGCTCAGCGTCTTAACCTCTGAGCCACTGCTCAGACTGGGGAGACCTGGGTTCAAATCCCCCGCCCAGTTTTGAAGCTCCATGGGTAGGGTTGCCAGCCTCCAGGTGGGGGCTAGGTATCTCCCAGAATCACACCTGATCTCTAGACAACATAAATCATTTATTTATTTCACTAGGAAAAAGGCCCGTTGTGGAAATAAATACAACGGCCTCTAGAAAGAGGCTCTGGGCGGTTGCCCCGGCCTTGGACACTCAGTGTCAATTTGCTGTGGCGACCTCAGCAGGGTATAATGACACTGAGTCCACCATTTTCTCCAGAGGAACTGATCTCTGCTACCTAAAGAACAGTTGTAATTTTGAGTGGTCTCCAGCCCTCACCTGGAGATTGGCAACGATGGTTCCCCAGAAGGGAATAGTTGGTTTGGAGGGTGGAGTCTATGGTTTTGTACCTGTCCGAGGTCCCACGCCTCCTGAAACTTCACCCTCTCCAGGCTCCATCCCTCACATCTCCAGGAATTTCCCACCTGGAGTTGGCAACCCTATCTCCTTCCCAGCCAATTATCAACCTACCTTTATTTCCCCCTCACTCTTCAGCTTTCCACCCCCACACACCTGCAGCCTCTCCCGTGCTCTGAAGCCCTGACTGCTATGTCACGTTGGCTGTCATAAGGGGGCCACCTCAGCAGCATATAAGGATACAGAGCCCACCATTTTCTCCAGGGGAACTGATCTCTGCCATCTGGAAAGCAGTTGTCATTCTGAGTGATCTCCAGCCCTCACCTGGAGATTGGACACATTTTACCTCAGAAGAGGTAAAATTTTTAGAATGTTTAGAATGTTAGAGGCAAAAGCCAATCAAGTCGCATATGCAAATGACCTCTGTGTTCCAAGGCAAAGGCCAATGAGGCCACATATGCAAATAACCTCTGTGTTCTGACTGGCTATGGGGGGGGGAGGCAAAGCAAAATGTTAGAATGTTGGAGGCAGGACTCAGGCAAAGCAGCCAGTGGATAGGGAGACCCTCTGAATGACACATCAGAGAGCGAACTGATTTTGGAGCGTGTGGAATGTTCTAAAGAAGCCATTCGGCTTTTATTTATAAGGGAGATTATATATTTACTTCAGACATTTATTCCACTTTTTCTGGAGAAAATGACTGCCTTGGAAGGGGGCTGCATGGCATGATAGCGTACCAAACCATCTCCATCTGACGCTGAAAGAATGCACAGGTCGTGTGTGGTTTTAGTGGTCCTCTTTGAATCCCACCATCCTTTCATGGGGTTTAGTTGACATTAGTGTCACAATAACCCTGTGAAGTAGGGTTGCCAATTTCCAGGTGAGGCCTGGAGAGCTCCCGGAATTATAACAGATCTCCAGATGACAGAGGTCATTTCCACTGGAGGAGATGGCTGCTTTGGAGGAAAGGCTCTATGGCATTTCCCCCCCACTGAGGGCCCTCTCCTCCTCAGACTCTGCTCTCCCCAAAATCCTTCCCCCAAATCTCCAGGAATTTCCCAACCCAGAGTTGGCCAACCCTACATAAAGTAGGTTAAGCAAAGACTGAGGCCTGGTGTTAAGTCGTGCGCTTAACAAAGAGTCGGAGAGTGATTCAGCAAGAATTGCGGTTTATTCTTCAGCTTAGTTACGATCGCCAGCCAGAACCATCATTCGAACCACTCGAGCCGAAGGACAAGCACTGGCTGCTCTGTATTTAAACATTCCCGGCTAGTTTTGCCACACCCCCTGTACAAATAACAACCTATGTGGTTGAAGATATAATGCCCAATCACAAGCGGTCCCGCTTTACAGCGTGATTGGTAGACACTCTCTGGGCTAGGGCTCCTATTGGTTACATTAGGATCCTAGCCCAGGATGAAGCTCAACATGGTGTTTCAATCAGTCGATTCACACATCAGTATTTACACAGTTCACATAGCAGTTATATACAATGCAATACATAACACCTGGTCTCCACATGGAGTAGAATAAGATGGCTGGAATCTTGAGGCAATCATGATCGAGTGTACCCTTTCAGACAGCAGAAGTGAGTTACATTTTCAGTGCTCCCCCCCAATAGAAAAACTCTGGGCGAATTTTAAAAAAATACAATTTTAGGGTGAAGAAGAAGAAGAGGAGGAGGAGGAGGAGATTGGCCCCACTCCGGGACTTCCTGATGGCACCTGGTATTTTTGGCCACTGTGTGACAGAGTGTTGGACTAGATGGGCCATTGGCCTGATCCAGCATTGGCTTCTCTTTATGTTCTTATGATTTATACCTTGCCCTTCACTCGGAGGCTCAGAGCAGCTTACAAACTCCTTTCCCTTCCTCTCCCCACAACAGACACCCTGCGGAGGTAGGCGGGGCTGAGAGAGCTCTGAGAGAGAACGGCTCTTGAGAGAACAGCACTGAGAGAACTTGTGACTGGCCCAAGGTCGCACCAGCAGCTGCATGTGGAGGAGTGGGGAATCGAACATGGTTCTCCCAGATTGGAGTCTGTGCTCTTAACCACTACACCAAACTGTCTCTCAACACCAAACTGCCTCTTAGGCTGACAGGAATTGATTCAAAATCTTTCATTGAGCCAATGGCTGAAGATGGCCCTTTGCACCCTTCTGGCCTGACTGCTTGTATGCTGGGGTTGCCAGATACAGGTTGGGGAATTCCTGGAGATTTGGAGGTGGAGCCTGGAGAAGAGAGGGAATGGCGAGAGGTACCAGGCTATAGAGTCTACTCTCCAAAGCGGCCCTTTCCCCCGTGGGAAACTGACTTCTGTTGTCAGGAGATCAGATAAAATTCCAAATCTCTGATGCATTCCAAATCTTTGGGGCTAATTTAAAAGAAAGAAAGGGACAACTATAGCCCACTCACTTGGCTATACAGCCTGCGGCATTCTATAGGATTTTTTCCCAACCATGCGGGGGGCCCCCCCACATGCTTAGGATAATGTCAAGTCTTCTGCATCTGGTGAGAAAGATGATGTCTGTTTGTACCTGTGCAAGTTTTTTCACAAGACTGATGGATTCCCATTCTGTACGGCTAAATTTGATGCCTTCTATGGAGCTGCGGTGGCTCAAGTGGTTAAGACGCTGAACTGCAGGCTCTGGAAGGTCGGTAGTTCAGCAGTTCGAGACCCGAGTGTGCCACATGACGGAGTGAGCTCCCATCTCTAGTTCCAGCTCCTGCCAACCTAGCCATTCAAAAGCAAGAAATTGCAAGGAGATCAATAGGTACCACTTCAGCGAGAAGGTAACAGCGTTCCGTGCGCCTTGGTGTTTAGTCATGCCGGCCACATGACCACGGAAACGTCTTCGGACAGCGCTGGCTCTTCGGCTTGGAAATGGAGATGAGCAACACAACCCTAAAGTTGGATTCGACTGGCTTTCGAGCAAGGGAACCTTTACCTTTATGGAGATAGATCAAGATTGGTAGCCATGTTTGTCTGTAGCACAAATGTTCCTACTGTGCCACAAATTTAAAGACTAACAACATTTGTGGCAGGGTAGGAGCGTTTGTGAGTCACTGCCCACTTCTTCAGTAGAACAAAGTTTGAGCTCAGTGGCGCCTTTAAGACCAACAAAGTTTAATTCTGGGTCTTCGCTTTCGTGTGCACGCACACTTCTTCTGATACCAAGTGCATGCACACGAAAGCTTTTACTCAGTGTTATGTACTGGGATTGAATCATCCCTGATTGAATCACCCCAGAGACTGGTCGAGCTTGGAGCACAAGAACAATAGCCGACCAGGACTCTGGAATAAACCAATCAAGTAGTAATGTTATGTAAATAGCCTTTCACTGGGAGTGGGGTGTGTTTGGGTGTGGCAACTGCATGCCATTTAACAGAGCTCAGGCTCTGGAGTCTTGTACTTTTGCTGAAATCACTGAATAAACCTGAGCTGATCACTGCCAGGCATCTAGAACCCAGTATTTAACACAGAGAATCAAACTTGGTTGGTCATAAAGTCGCTACTGGACTCAAACTTTGTTCAGTTGCTTCAGACCAACACGGCTACCCACCTGAATCTTTCTTCTGAAGAAGTGAGCAGTGACTCCCGAAACCTCCTCCCCTGCCACAATTTTTTTAGTCTTTATGGTGCTGCTAGACTCGTGCCCTTTTCTAGCCCTAAACCAGGTGACATACCGACATCCGTCAGCAGGAGGAGCCCGTTGGGAAGCTCATAAGCAAATGCGTCTTTGCTTCCAGCGTTGCAGATTCGCGCTCTGTTCCTCCTGTGTGGCGCGGAACCCTTTGGTTGGCCTGGGGGTGAGGAGGAGATTCTGCCTTCCCAAAAAGCATGCTTTTAAATCTCTGATCTTGCCAGGTCTCGGGAGTCCATTTCTGCGGAGGAGTGACTCTTCGATCGAAGGAATCGTCCGCGGCAGACGAGAAACTAACCGCTCGGGGGGGTCTTTGCAGCGGCGCGGTGAGTGCTTGCTTTTTGCAAAGGGGCGCGAGCCGGGCGGGATCCGGGCGGGGGGCTGCTTTTGCGGACCCTCCTCTGGGCTGGGAGCGGGGGAAGCCCGCCGAGGGCAAGAAGTTTGACGACTGAGCGGGGCAACGGCTCCAGCCTGCTCCTCTGTTGATATACTAATGAAAGTTGGCGTTCATGGCGTGCCTTTGAATGCTCAGAGTGTTGCACGTGTAGTATCTTGGTATAATTCTTACAGCAGCCCTGTGAGGAAGACTAGCATTATTTGTCGTCGTTGTTGTTGTTCAGTCGCACAGTCATAAGAACAGAAGAGGAGCCAATGTTGGATCAGGCCAAAAGCCCATCCAGACTCTTCCAAGGCATGCCTTAAAAAGCTTGAAGCCAATGTTGGATCAGGCCAAAGGCCCATCCAGTCCAACACTCTGTGTCACACAGTGGCCAGAAATACCAGGTGCCATCAGGAGGTCCACCAGTGGGGCCAGGACATTAGAAGCCCTCCCACTGTTGACCCCCCCCCCAGCACCAAGAAGACAGAGCATCCCTTGCCCCAGAGCCCCTAGCTATACCTTGTGGCCAATAGCCACTGATGGACCTCTGCTCCATATGCTTTCTAAGCTGTGGAGTCTTGTGAGCAAAAAATTCTACCTTGTGAGCTACTGGCATTAAAATTGTGAGTGAACGATTTAGCTACTGCATAAATTAGTTTGCTCTGGAGCCATCCTTCCTGAGCTAAGACAAAAAGGTGTGAGCCGGAGGCTAAAAACTGTGAGCTAGCTCACACTAACTCAGCTTAGAGGGAACACTGCTACCTACCTACCTACCTACCTACCTACTTTATACCCTGCCCTCCTAGCCAAGGCCGACTCAGGGCGGCTTACATAAGAATAAAGCACATAAAAACAGTTAAAACAGTCCTAAGACCTTCTAAAACCATCTGACATTGTGCTAGTAAATAGTACGATTGCAACCAAGTGAGAGATTTTAAAAGGTCTTATCGGTTTTAAATATTAGAGATTAAGATAGTCTTAACAGGTGTTTTACATGTGGTAGTAGAGTTTGAATTTCTCTAGTATATGTTATGGTATAAACTGAGAGAGTTTTGATATTGCGAAGGCCTATGGCCACATACAATAAAACGATTCTATTCTAAAGGTAGTAATCATTGTTGTTATTTGACGATGGCAGCCATTCCTCGATGACCTAGTCTCACAGTCGGCCCATAGATCTTTCCTTAAGGCGGCTGGCAATTTGCCTGATCTGCTGTGGACTTCCTTTTCCCCCTCATCAGATGCCATTCTTAATTGCAAAGGATTCTGGGGCATGTTGGAATTTACTGTTGGGGGAACTGTGAACGTCACCAAGGTTCCTTCACAGCTGCGCGTTGCAGTAGAAGACCGGTAGTGGTGGGCAAGCTGTCCTGTGTTTATTTACTCTGCCTTCCTGCCCAGCGGGGACCCAGAGCTACTTATATCCTTCTCCTCTCCTCCATGTTATCCTTACAACAACCCTGTGAGGAAGGCTAGGCCGAGAGTATGTCACTGGTCTAAGGTTACCCAGTGAGAGTCCATGGCAGGCTGGGGATTCGAACCCGAGTCTCCCAGATCCTGTGCCAGCACGCTAACCACGACATCACCAGTGTTCCCTCTAAGCTGAATTAGTGTGAGCTGGCTCACAGGTTTTTAGCCTCCGGTTGACGAATGTTTGCCTTAGCTCAGGAAGGATGGCTCCAGAGCAGATTAATTTATGTAGTAGTCTGATCGCTCGCTCACAACTTTAATGCCAGGAGCTCACAAAGTAGAATTTTCGCTCACAAGACTCCACAGCTTAGAGGGAACATTGGACACCACCCTTGGTGTCTTTGGGGAAGCCCGCCGGCTTTTATGGATCTCACTGAGGAACCTTTGATAAGCTTCTGAGGAACACTAAAGTTGCTCAGAACCCAGTCGAAAATCTTTGTTGTTAGAGGAAAAACAGCCCTGCATGAAGATACTATTTTCTCGGTTTTGCTGCATATACACTTGCCGGGTGTTTGTAACCAGTTGTGGTTTCCCAATGTGTATGCCTGTGGTAACATGGGTACACAGGCAGACCTCACACCTTAGTGATGTACAGTGTGTGTGTGCGTGTGTGTGCGTGAAGTGCCCTCAAGTCGCTTTTCACTTATGATGACCTTGTGAATTAATGTCCAAAGCGTCCTATTGTTTGGTGTAGTGGTTAGGAGCGTGGACTCTAATCTGGGAGAACCAGGTTTGATTCCCCACTCCTCCACAGACAGCTGCTGGTGTGACCTTGGGTCAGTTACGAGTTCTTTCAGAGCTGTTGTCTCATGAGCAGTTCTGGAAAGAGCTCTCTGAGCCCCACCTACCTCACAGGGCGTCTGTTGTGGGGAGGGGAAGGAAAAGGAGAGTGTAAGCCACTCTGAGACTTCTTTGGGTAGTGAAGGGCGGGGTAGAAATCCATTCTCTTCTTCTTAATAGCCTTGCTCAGGTCTTGCAAATGGAGGGCCTTTGTGGCGTCCTTGATTGAGTCAATCCATCTCATGTTGGGTCTTCTTATTTTTTTGCTGCCTTCTCCTGGCATTATTGTCTTTTCCAGTGATATACAATCTTCCCTGCCTTCTACCCATTTAACAAGTCGTGTATGAGCTCGCCCTAGTGCAAGGGAGCAGAGCTCATCCAAATAACAATAATAATTGTATGACAGTGTGTGTAATATAGCCAGGAGATCCTAAGATTATCTGGCAGCCAGAAGTTCTAGCTATTTTAGCATTATGCACCACTAGGTGGCGAGCTAGAACTTGTTTTTAAGACAAGAGACATTTTGGAGGTGGCTTGCCATTGCCTGCCTCTGTGTCACAACCAGTGTTCCCTCTAGGATGAGTTGCTGTGAGCTAGCTTGCAGTTTTTTAGCCTCCGGCTCAAGGATGGCTCAGAGCAAACTCATTTATGCAGCAGCCAAATCGCTCGCTCACAATTTTAATGCCGGTAGCTCACATAGTAGATTTTTTTGCTCACAAGACTCCACAGCCTAGAGGGAGCATTGTATTCCTTGGACGCCGCCCTTTCAAATGTGAGCCAGGGACGGCCCTGCTTAGCTTCTGAGATCTGACAAGATTGTGCCAGCCTGGGCTATCCAGGTCAGGGCATCCAAATAACAAACACGATGGAACAGAATTCCTTGAAATGGGAGATACATTAATCTGTACCTTTGGTGTTCTTTTCTCCAGACAATGAACGAGTGGGCACCCATTGCCAAAGAATATGACCCGCTCAAAGCAGGAAGCATTGATGGTACGGACGAAGAACCCCACGACCGAGCCATTTGGAGGGCGATGACGGCCCGCTATGTCCCCAACCGAGGTGTCACGGGAGACCCCCACCTCACGCTATTTGTGGCGAGACTCGCCCTGCAGACCACTGAGGAGAAGTTGAAGGAAGTCTTTTCCCGCTACGGAGACATCCGGAGGATACGCCTGGTGAGGGACTTTATCACGGGGTTCTCGAGGGGCTACGCCTTCATCGAGTACAAGGACGAACGGGCCCTCTTGAAAGCTCACAGAGACGCCAACAAGCTGATCGTCGACCAGCGTGAGGTGTTTGTAGACTTTGAGCTGGAAAGGACCCTGAAAGGGTGGATCCCTCGGCGGCTTGGGGGCGGTTTCGGGGGCAAGAAGGAGTCTGGGCAGCTGCGGTTTGGGGGCAGGGACAGACCTTTCCGGAAGCCCATCAACTTGCCCGCTATGAAGAGTGATTTCTATGGAGAGGGGCAGGCAGAGAAGAGAGACAGGCCCTGGTCCCGGGACTGGAAAACAAGGGATCGTGCTCATGAGAGGAACCGGGAGCAGAGGCGGCCGGAAAGGGAGTGGAGCGAAAGCAGGAGGGACCGTGAGCGGCACTCCAGGGAGGAAAGAAGCTCTGGGAAAGAGGGAAGGAACAGGGAGAGGAAAGACCGGAGCAGAGACCACAGCTCCAGAAAGCGACGGGATGAAGACCGAAACTGATGGATATACTCCCGTCCGTCTTGTGCTGTTTGACTGCAGAACATAGGTGTAAGACACAGGCTTCGGGTTCTCTGCCAGAATACTTCAGGCTCTACGCTCAGGCTTGGCAAATCAGGCAAAAAAGCTTTTATTATCGAAAAACAACAAGGGCAACCTCGATTAACAATGCTTCGAGGAAAAAAGAAAATTCCACGTCCTTCGGGGGGGTGCCAAAATACAAAGAGTAATTAAAATCAACTGGAACTTATAATGACTCCACAAGGTAGGAAAACATCCTGCCCCCCACACCTTTTGCTATTTTATCTTTGGAAGAACCTGTTAAGACGCTGCCCCTCCCTGTCTCCAGTGCAGCTGTCAGTTAAGAAATCTCAGCTGTGCAGCTCTTGCAAAGCTGAGTACCGGACAGTTCCTGTAAAGACTTGCAAGGTTAATCCTCCCCCTCCTGCCGTCCTTCAGTTCTACAGAGTTGCTGTGTTACAGACAGGTTGGTGTCTTCCTTACAATAGGGCTGCCAGGTCCCCCGGGTACCAGAATCAGGCTGATGTACCCGGCACGATGACGTCACCCAGAGGTGACATCATCGCACCGGGCACGTCGTCGGGGGACGCTCTAGCGTTCGGCATTATCAATGAGTTTTAAAGCTGGATGCTAGAGCGTCCCTCGATGGCATGCCTGGTGCGATGATGTCACTTCCGGGCGACGTCATTGCAGCGTGCGTGTGTAAGCTCCCGGACAAGGAGCTTCCAATCCCCACTGGATGCGAGCAACCCTAGCAGGACACCAGGGCATGATGGGAAAGCATGAATCCAGATTCCCGAATGAGATGAACCCAGATCATTCCTATTCAGGCCACGTGGACTCTAGGAAAGCTCTGGTTTAGGACTGGCCCATAGGAAGTAATGAAAAGCTGTCCTAAAGGGCGGTTCCACTGGAAACAGCAAGGCCCAAGGATTGGTGGGCTGAAGCAGGCCAGCTTCGAGCCACTCTTCAGGCAATCTTGGGTAACAGCAGAGCGAGAAAAGCGATGTTTTTAAAATAATGGCACAGAACTGCCCATCATTTTGCCCTCATGTCTGGCTGTGAGCATTATCCGCCCCATGGGAAGATTTCGCCTCCTTTTGTCCTGGCTTGGCCCATGGCTCTGAGGCCTTGTTCACAACCAGGCGGTGGGTTTGCATGGCCGTGTCAAAAACGCCACCGCCGGTTATTCCGAATGCGTTACTGGCCTTCAGCTGGGGTTTGAATGAGTTGCACAACCACTTTGTGTGTGTGGGGGTGCATATTATTACGGAATAAACTGCAACCCGATAATGAGCCCATTGTACTGTTTCCACGATGGTGCATCTGATAGAATGCTTCCTGTAAAATTGAATGAGGGTGTATGTCTGTTCTTGGCTTTTTCTTTCTGGGCAGGGCTTGTGGGTGTTCTGGGAATCAAGAGGTGTTTGTTGCAGAGTTAATAAATTGCTGGGAAATGAGGGTTTGTGGCTAGTAGTATTCCTTCCCCCCCAAAAAAAGATACAAAGGAGGAGGAGATTGGATTTATACCCCGCTCTTCACTCGGAGTCTCAGAGTGGCTTACAAACTCCTTTCCCTTCCCCTCCTCACAACAGACATCCTGTGAGGTAGGTGGGGCTGGGAGAGCTCTTTCAAGAACAGCTCTGACAGAACTATGGCTTGCCCAAGGTCATCTAGGGAGCGGTGGCGCAGGCGGTTAAACGCCTGCCAGTAACATCCTTGAACAGCTGTTACAGCTGTTCGATTCCCACCGCGGCCAGTGTGAGCAACTGGCCCTTGTCCCAGCTCCCGTCAACCCAGCGGTTCGAAAGCGCCGATTAACACCTATGCGCAAGTAGATGAATGGGTACCTACCTTAGAGGGTAGGGGGCACCCTCCCCCGTCGAGGGGGTTGTTGGAGTGTCAAAATACTGGTGGAGCGGCGAGGCGGCAAGTAAGCGGCTGGAAGATGGCGTCCCGGTACAGCTCGAACGACGGAAGCAGACGGCGGTGGAGAAGCAGAGTCAGACGACATGGGGAGAGTGGACGGCGCAGGCGCGGCGGAGCCGGAAGGACAGAGCTGAAGCCGCGCCGTAGCGCGCCGCACGTCGGAGGGGCCCGGCTGACTCACCGCAGGAGTGACCGTCAAAAATGGAGCCAGAAGACAGCCAAGACATCGAGCCGAGGAATGCCT